CCACCATGGCTTTCAAAGTCTAAAGGAAATGAGAAAGAACACTATTGGAAGCGCACTTATGGGGGAATGGGGAAAAATGATTCATGTGCTCTCACACACCCGCCTGGTGGGGAGCACATATGTAGGGTCGAAAGCTTGGATAAGCTTCCTGAACCCTGTGTCCTCCACAAAACTGAAGGGCTGGCAATCTTCAATCACCATATTGATTAATGCCTCTTCCACTGCATTCTTATTCACTGCAGTTTAACAGAGACAGAGTTAGTGATAGATGTCATTCATTTCATCTGTCACATTTGAAATACACATGGTAGGCTATGCTGTTCTTTCATTGCATGTTAAAATGCCTTACCTGGGGGTGGTTCTGTTTGAGTTGTCTCCTTATTTTCATGCAGGGCCCTATAATGCCTCAACATAGATGACGTGTTCTCTTGGTACCCAAGTTCTTTGGAACAAAGTTTACACTTCACCTTTTGAAATATCAGCAAGTCGAAGAAAACTCATTATAATGAGGGATGCACTGTGCTGTCACAATAATTTACAATATATATTCACACTGGTTATAATTCGTACCTTTTTAGGGGAGATCTGCTCAAAATGATCCCAGACAGGGGATGTTCTCTTCTTATTCGTTGTGGATGGTGGGGTGCGTCCAAAGCCGTCCATTGCAAAACGAATCTGAATGAGTTGAGGTTTGGAGATGCGAGTTGAGCGTGTCAGCGTCACCTGTGAGCTCAATGTCGTCCCGGTGCGCCGGATTTATTTCGATTCACCCGCGAAACTATTTGTGGGCGGTGACGTAGGAATCCCGTCCCGTGAGGCTTCGGGCGGAGCAACGCGCGTTCCGAGGTATCGGGCGTGGCCACAAGCGTAATCGACACGCGCCTCGGTGCGCGCTTCGCGGATTTTCTTCCGGTTTACTCGGCACACGCATCGGTACCTCGGCACAGTCGGGCACATCACTAATTATAACAGCTTGGAATCAAATGAACACAAAGAAAAAAGTATTTTCTCATCTTTCATATTTATTGTTTCACCGTCGTCCTGCATTCATGCGTCACAAATTCGCTGGTCTCTCATCCAAACAATTGGCTAGCTGTTGCTGCTCCCTAGCGGTATGAGGGGGTACTACACGATTACTTTCTGTGCAATAGACCACACAGGCATACAAATTGGATATTTTCCGGCGGCACACCTGACAATGTCTTGCGGCACACTGGTGTGCCGCGGCACAGGGGTTGAAAAACACTGCACTAGACGCTCCGCATTATAAGGCGTCCTGTCCATTTTGGAGAAAATTTAAGACTTTTAATGGTGCCTTATAGTCGTGAAAAT